GTAATCCAAGGATTACTGGCCTGTTGCAATACTAAACCTATAAGGATGGGTTTGGGTCGTGACAACATTAGAACACTTCGACTGATTTCCACCTCAGAACCAACTCCGTTCTGCTTCAAAAGTACACTGTTGGATTTTGCATAGGTGGCCGGCAGGCTAGAAGTGATGGCCTGCCAACCACTGATGATTGGATTCTCCTACTGCAATAGAGAGCAAATAGAGTAGGAATAAGGTATTCTCAAGGGTTTGTTTGCACAACTTACCTCTCCTTATCATTTGAATAACTCAAAGGAGCAGTAAACTTGGCTCACAAACCATCAATGAATGCAATTCCATTGCATGATGGCCTATGAACCAAATGGTGCAAGTTCAATAAATACAACAAATAAAGACTCTCAAACCTCCTCCCTATCATGGATTGATCAAGGAAGTGGTTGACAATGACTCTTGAACTGTTTACATCACTAACAAGTATGAAACGATTCAAGAGTCAAGCGTTCAATTAACATTTGATTGAACCCTAACCAAGTTATTATCTTGCATCATTTTTAGTCCCCAATTTTATTACTCCATTTTAATTACCAACTATTCCTTAGTAAATTAAGTCCAAATGTGAGCTTTGAGTCCACCAATGGAAAGGAGCATCAAACCAAATGTTGTTTTAGGCATGAAAAAGATGTCATGCTGTTGGTAATGAACCCCCAAAGGGATTAAACCATTAAGCACAACAACCTCAATCTCAAGCTTCAACAAACAACCGATTTGAAACAATTTTCAAAGAAAATAAAATGCCAAGAAAAAGGAGAGGTTGCAGAGATGATTAGCGGTGAAAATAAGTATGGAAAACAAGAAATAAATACTAGCAACTCAAATAGGTTGGTAGCTAAGGCCTAAACCACCAAGCCTATGAGGACCATTACATTTCAAGCATACTATACAAAGCATAAATGAAACTAACTCATAAAAATAGTCCTAATATACACTAAAACAGTGCTGGAATTGAAGTGGAAACAGCTAAAAAAGCAAGCTAAAATAATGGAGCTTTTGAGCTAGTAAACAAGCATAAAGAGGAGTGGCTAACCCCTTCATTTTTGGGACCTCAAAACAACATTTTTAGCCTATGAAAACCTCTGAAAATCAGTTGTAAAAAACTCAAAAAAAGTTGATAAAAAGATAGGAAACACAAGGGCAAAAGCTTAGAGGACAAAGTTCAAAGAAGGGTGGTTAACCCCTCCACCTTTGGTAGCTTTAAACCACAAGTTTCATCCCATAAAAATAGTTGAAAAAAATTTCAAAAATAGCAAGAAAATATAGAAAAGAAGTAATGCAAATAAGCTAGTAGTTATACCTCTTGAAGAAGAATAACACTTTTGTTCACAAACCAACAAGTTCTCACTCTTAATGGCTGAAATTTGGACTCAATAATCTCAGCAAGGAGAGCTCCAATATTGGTTTAGGAAGTGTGGAGAGAGAGTGTATAGGTTGCAAGATAGAGATAGAGAGAGAATTTCAAGTTTTGGCCCTTTTGGAAATTTTTGTAACCTTAAACCATGAAGGAAGGCCGGGTATATATAGAAAAATAGCCTCACAGGTCGGAAATATCCATATAGGAACAGCTGGAGCTTTTGGGGGACAGCTGGTACAAAATATCTGTGTTTTTCACAAGTGGCAGGCAGACCAGAAGTGTGGGTTGCCAGCCACAAAAAATCTACTTCCAGGCCCGACTTCAAACAGGTATATCTCATTCATCCGGACTCGGTTTTAAGTCATTCTTGAGTCTAAATTGAAGCCCCGAAAGTATACTTTACAACGGAAGTAATCTCACATCTAAATTCTAAGTGTTCAAAGAGATATGCCTATTTTAGTGAAGGTTGCTCATTTCTATCTTAACCCGATTGATGCCTAACTTCAAACGACCATATCTCTCTCATCTGGACTCGGTTTTTGGTGATTCTTGAGTCTAAATTGAAGCCCTGGAAGTCTAATTTCCAATTGAAGTGGCCTCACAACTAAAGTCTAAATGTACAAAGAGATAGGCCTGATTTAGTGAAGGCTGCTCAGTTCTCTCTTAACGATTTGATGCCCAACTTCTTCCCCAACTAGTTTTCTTCCCTCTCCTCTAATTTTCTTCAACTCCAACCGATAAATAGGAGGTTTTAAAGATTTTTCAAAGAGTTCACCTCTCTTCCACTTATTTCTACTTTGTCTTTACTCGGTTTGCCGAAAAGTGTAACTTTTAAATGAAATGCGAGCCTCGAAACATCGTAGAAACATTTGGAAAAACATTTTGAAAGAGAGGGTTTTAAGGTCTAAAATAGTTTGGTCTAAATGGGGTGTAAGGTTGGGATTTAGAAGCTCTTCTTGCTGAAGAAATCAAACATTTTTATAGCATAACTTTCATCGAGTGATAAACTTGAGGCTCCCAAGTCTTAAGAGCGGTAAAAAATGGGGTGTCTACAAAGAGTTTTGTTTTACAAATCTGAATGGCATGAATGGAACAACACTTGAGCATAAAAAACCATTTGTTTTGAATTTTGAATCTGGGAAAGGTTGCATTTCAATGAATTTTGAGTTGGATATCGAGCCTATGACTGACCAAAACAAAAAATACAACTTAATGAAAGGAAAACTAAGCAAAAACCATCCCAAATGCACCCTTTTACGCTTTCCAGAATAAAATGGACTCAAAATAGAGCAAACATCGGTCGATCGCTCAACGAAAAAGCATCGCCGGCGACAACTACTGTGTATTTTCCAACGATTGCTTGATTAAGGTGACACGAACTCAATAGTGCAAGTAAAGGATAGAAAACCTGACTCAACTGTGCCCATAGTTTATCACTTTGCCCCCCCTTTTTTGTTTTTCCTTTTTGCTAAAACAATTTTGATCAACATGAGAGGTAAATTAGCACACTTGTTCCATTTTTTGTCTTGAAATCATATAAGCCAAATTATAAGCACAGAAAACTTTCTCTTTTTGGTCCAAAGAATGGTCTAGATTTTACAAAATATGAAATAATTTTTGAGACAATCAGTCAACTTCATTAAAAGTCCACAAAATTTGTATTTGTAAATGGCCACTACCCAACCAACATGAATCCAACCCTTGAAATGCACAACTGAATCTGCCTTGCAACTGAACCCGTCATGAAGGACAACTAAACCAAACGGGACAAGTTAATTAAACATAGATTGGATAACCGGGTCAAATAAAGATACACCAATCAAACATGGACAGGATGAGTGAGTTGGAAAATGATTAGGGCTGAATTTCAAGATGAAGCTGCCTCCGTATCCCAAAGATAGGAATTAGGGCATACGTAGTTCTGGCTAAGGTTCACTCGGGTATTAACACTCTCCTTTTGTGCACTAACTTTTGCTAAAATCCCCCTTTCGGGTTTTCAACCTTGCGAGCTTTTCATTTTTTCATTCTTTTATTTTTTTCATTTCATTTTTTTTTGTGCTCTAATTTTTGCCTAGGTCTCCCTTTCTAGTTTTTAGGCCCAGCGAGCCTCTCAAGGATAGTATTTCTTCTGCTTGTCTATGTTGATTGGTTGTAAGAATTCTAAACCATCCAAATCAATAAGAATGACTGCTCCTTTTAACCATATTGATTTAATGACGTAGGGACCCATCCAATTGGGTCTGAACTTGCCCTTCGGGTCGTGAATAAGAGCTTGTTGTCTGATGAACCAAGTTTCCTTTCCTCAAATTCCTGGATCTAACCTTTTTGTTGAATGCTCTAGCAATCTTGCGTTGATACCCTTGAACATGCTATAATGCCTTCAATCTCAGCTCATCAAACAACATCAGCTCCTCAAATTAGTTCTGTTGCCAATCAGTTTCTGCTATCTGACATTCAGCTATAATCCTCAACGAAGGTACTTCTAATTCAATTGGCAAAACAGCCTTCATTCCATATACCAAAGAGCATGGGGTTGCCCCTGTAGACCTTTGGATTGATGTCCTATATCCCCAAAGTGCAAAAGACAGCTTATCTGGAAAATCTCTATAAGTTTCTACCATCTTACACAGAATGGTCTTGATGTTCTTATTTGCAGCTTTAACGGCTCTATTGGTTTGTGGCCTGTAAGTTGATGACTTGTGAAAAGTCACGTTATACTTCTCAAGCAGAACTACTACTTCTCCTTTGAAATGTGAGTCGTTGTCTAAAATTACTTTGTTTGGCACACCGTATCTACAGATGATGTTATTCTTGATGAATTTGGCGACATGTGATGCTTTTAACACTGAAAATGACTGTGCTTCAACCCATTTGGTAAAATAATCAATGGCAACCAAGATAAACTGATACCCATTTGAAACCTTTGGTGTGACTGCCTAATAACATCTATGCCCTAGACTGAGAAAGGCCAAGGCGAAGTCATGTTATAGAGTTTTTGATGGCGGGATATTCATGCAATTGACGTGGATTTGATATTTATGGCATCTCCTAACAAAGTTAATACAATCATTTGGTTAACCAGTAGTATCCTTACCTAAGGATATTTCGGGCCAACATTATACTGTTCATATAGGCTCTACACTCTCCTCCATGGATGGCCTCTATAATACGCCTTGCCTCTTCTTCCTCTACGCACAAATTGTGCAGTCCTAGATGTCCTCTTGTATACAGCTTATTCTCATAAAATGATGAACTGAGTAGCCAGACATCGTATTTCCCTTTTGTCCTTGGCATTTGCCCCTTGTAGGTATATATTGGTTTCCAAAAAGTTTAAAATATCAAAGTACCAAGGGTTTTCATCTTGAACCTCCTCTGTTGCAGCTACCATTTCATATGCGGGAATATATCTTTGTTCTATCAGGATTGGGCACATCTTAATCCCAACTGGTATATTTATCATGGAAGCGAGGGTTGCCAACGGATTAACAAATTGGTTGTTCTCTCTCACCAGATGTGTAAATGTCAGTCTTTCGAATCTCGAGGTCAATATGTCCAAGGTATAACGATAGACTTTCATTGTCTCATCTTTAACCTTTCAATTTCCATTGGCTTGAGAGATAACCAGGTTTGAATCTCCAATCACATCCAACCTTATTGCTCCTAGTTCTAGAGCTACTTCCAATCCAGCAATACAGGCGTCATACTCTGCTTGGTTGTTGGATACTCTAAATTGGAGTTCAAAGGCTAAATGGATATGCGAATCATCTAGTGCTATGAGCAACACACCTATCACGTAGCCAAATTGATTAGACGCTCTATCAAAGTATAATTTCCAAGTATCTTCTTTTATCTGCATGACCTCCTCATCTGGGAACGAATAACCCATAGCTTCTTTTTCTTCAATCGGGTGATCAGCCAAAAATTCTGCCACGGCCCTTTCGTTAATAGATTTGCGAGTGACATACTTAAGGTCGAATTTAGAAAGCAAAAGTAACCAATGAGCTAGCCTACCAGTAAGAGCTGGTTTCTCAAAAAGATATTTGATGGGGTCTAATCTTGAAACCAGAATTGTTGAATGAGTTAACAGATAGTGTCTCAACTTCTTGGTGGCCCAAACCAAAGCCAAGCAAGCATTTTCCAAAGGAGTATAACAGGTCTCGTAGTCAAGCATCTTCTTGCTCAAGTAGTAGATGGCTTTCTCTGCTTTTTCATTTGACTCTGGCACAAGCATACATCCCATGGTTGATTCAATCACTGATAAATACAAATCAGCAGTTTCTCTGGCTCAGGTGGCGATAACACAGGTGGATTGTGAAAATACTACTTAACTTGCTCGAAGGTGAATTAACACTGATCATCCCATTAGAACTTCTTCCCTTTCTTCAATAGACCAAATAGTGGTTCACAAGTCAAGGTTAATTTAGAAATAAACCTCCTTATTAATTGCACTTTTCCCAAAAAGCCCCGCTGTAGACACCCCATTTTGACTGCCCACAAGAGTTAGGCGCTTGGTTCGATACACTCGATGATGAAAGTTAAATTGTGTGCTTTGAATTCACAGCGATTCGGATTTAGTTAAGCTCTCGAAATAACCTCTAATCTTCAACATTTACCTTGTTTGAACCTTTGAGTCTCATTTTTGGACCTTTTACTACCCTGAGCTGAGTTTGAACCAAAAAATAGGGGAGGGCATTAAGGCCCGGCCGTGCATCAGTGATGACCGGCCGTAGCTATGAATGGCTGGCCGGGCCTTGATAGTGAGAAACACTGTTTTGGGCGGAAGGCCGCTAGTTGTCTATTTTTGAAGATATTTTTGATATTTTTGGCTCAAATTCTATAAAAATGAAGCTGTGTTATTGTTTTGGGGGTTGAACAAAATTTAGAAAGCCTGTATACACCTTGAGAGCTTCTCATTTAGAAATAAACCTCCTTATTAATTGCACTTTTCCCAAAAAGCCCCGCTGTAGACACCCCATTTTGACTGCCCACAAGAGTTAGGCGCTTGGTTCGATACACTCGATGATGAAAGTTAAATTGTGTGCTTTGAATTCACAGCGATTCGGATTTAGTTAAGCTCTCGAAATAACCTCTAATCTTCAACATTTACCTTGTTTGAACCTTTGAGTCTCATTTTTGGACCTTTTACTACCCTGAGCTGAGTTTGAACCAAAAAATAGGGGAGGGCATCAAGGCCCAGCCGTGCATCAGTGATGGCCGGCCGTAGCTATGAATGGCTGGCCGGGCCTTGGTAGCGAGAAACACTGTTTTGGGTGGGAGGCCGCTAGCTGTCCATTTTTGAAGATATTTTTGATATTTCTGGCTCAAATTCTATAAAAATGAAGCTGTGTTATTGTTTTGGGGGTTGAACAAAATTTAGAAAGCCTGTATACACCTTAAGAGCTTCTCCCTCATCTTTCTTCCATAACAAGCAACCTTTGAGCTAACCTAACTCCGTTGTGTCATTACCATACACCATACATAACCTTGTCTCACCATCTTAGAGCCTTGGTTGATCTTTAAGAAGCATAATTCAAGCTTGAGAGTGGGTTGGGACTAAGCTTGGATCATAATCAAAAGCTAACTTATTTGCAAGGTATAAGCTTTTTTATTTTCCTTCTTGCTTTCATATCTTTCATTTCCTACCTAATTCTTATTGTTTTGTGTTGTTTTGAGTCTATTCTAAGTGTTTAAGATTAGGTTTGAAAAGCTACCAAAAGAGTAGAGAGAGTTTATACTCTTTCTATATCTTTATCTATAGCTCAAACCTTTCTTTTACACTCATTTTCTTTGCTCCTTACACTAATTTTTAGATTTAAAAAAAGGGCTAAAAATCATGTTTTGAGGTTTCAAAAGTGGAGGGGTTAGCCACCCTTCCTTGTTCTTGCTTACTAGCCTTGTTCCTCCTCTTCGTTGTTTAGTTTTTTTAGGCTGTTTTCATTAACTTCGAGCCTCTGTTTTTCATCTAATAAGGGTTGTTTGAGGGCTGTCCTAAGTTGTTTAATTGGTTCAAGCTTTGGTTAATTCATTTGTTGTCTCATGAGTTTGCATACATAACATGTTATATATTGTTCTAAGCTTTTCTTCAATTTATTTTCATGTCTAAAAGTCTAATTTTAACAATCAATCCACCATCCATCTCTTTCATTCTTGAGAATGATTTCAACCGATTGAGGTTGCTCAAAATATGTAAAAAAGACTCCTACTTAATGACTTAATCTTTTCGGAGATTTATTGCCAACGGTATAGTCCCTCTCTCATGCTTTAGAAGAACCTCTGGTTTGACATTACTTCTTGTTTAGAGGACTTTAACATCACCATGGACAAGTGGACTAAAGAATGATAAGGCTTCATAAAATTGACTTAAAACTTGGAACAACCCATATAAAGAAAATGGTTAGAATCGCTTGAACTTGGCCGAACGTTATGCCAAGTTCCTTGTGTCAAGAGTCGTCACATGCTAATTCATGGCATTTTGATGATTCTTGAAGCGTTGCAACCTCCCTCTTTGAGCTCACTCCATGATAAGAAGGAGGGGTGGTCTTATTCATTGCATTCATTGACTTTTGTCCAAACTTATATTCGGAATCATGAAGCAATCAACTTGCTCGTTGATGGTTTGGGGACCAACTTCATCATTCTCTCGACCCTCTCCATGACAAAGAAGGAAAGATGGGATAAACAGAGCTTGAGAACACTCTGTCTGCACTGGTTTACATCAGAACACAAAAATAGAGTTTTGCACCAAATTGAGGCACGACCGGCCATCTGTAGACCTGGCCGGCCATCACTGATGCACGGCCAGCCCTCAATGTGTGGCCAACAGTGCAGTTTTGCAAAAAACAGAGGCAGTGGCTGAAGGTGAAACAGAGTTAGCTTGGACAGACAGAGTAGCTCTTAGACATTGTGTATGCAACCCTCATTCATCTTCACTTACGCCTTTGTCGAACGCAATTAATTATTTCATTAGTGTTATAATTATCATAGTTGTAAATTAATCTTATTGTAATTAGTATTGTTGTAGCCATTGCTTATTGATAATCGGTATAACTAGTTAAATTGTTGTAAAAAAGTAGTTAATTAGCTTAGTTAATTGGTATAGCTAGTTAAATTATTGTAATAAAGTAGGTAATTAGCTTAGTTAAGTTAATTATTATTCATTCGTCCAATTTTGTAATAGTTAGATAATTCGGACTTTTGGACATTGATTCGCGCCCTCCTGCGTGAGGGATCAAATGTTGTAATAATATGTATGTCTTCCAACCCGACGTCTTTCTCCCATTTATTTAATCGCTTACGAGGGTTAGTTTAAAACATCACGTTTCATTAGCATTCTCATGTTTTGCATCCATTTGTCTTGCATGCATCCAAGGTTCAGCTCATCATACTAACCAAATGTTTAAATTCATTGCTTGAATATGTGATTTATCACATGTCTTGAATCGGATCATATACCATGCTCATAGCTAAGCTTATTCAAAATTGCATAAATGTGTGCGTTGCATTTAGTCATGGTGCATTAATTAGGAGCATGCATATTTTTCTAATTATTTTCCTTTGTTTTGGCTCGGAATACTAGGTGAGTTTTTATGTCTTAGCATCTTGCATCAAGTGTTTGTGTTGCCATATCTACCATGCTTGTCATGAGGCTAAGTTCTTAAATAATATAATTGTTTGAATTCCTATGGATAAAGGCTAATTGCTTGAGTTGGGGTAGTTTAATTAATGTTCCATTTTAAGCCCACTTTTTCAAGTGGCAAATTCACAAAACAATTTCAAAACAAACATAAGATCAAATGTTCCAAATCTTGTAAAATTAGTCGATACCTTGTGTGCGCATCACATAGTAATATAGCTAATAAATCGGAACAAGAGCATATAATGTAAATAAGAAAGACATCATAATTAGTAGAGGCCAATCTTTGATCGGGCGAGTGGAGTGCTCAATTTATGACCTTTCCCTCTCGTACCTAAGTTCCCGAGTCGAGACACTTTGGTGATAATGGACTAATGGCCTTTGGCACGAGTCTCGAGTTTGCTAAATTTTCTCAAAATATTTAGGTGGCATCTTTGAAATCTGGCAAAGCAGTCCATTTTTTGCATTTGATTCAAACATCGATTTTTCAAAAAGAATTGCTGGATTTGGACTCTTTTTGTGTTTTCATTACTTCACATTTTGCATTGCACTTGTGAAATCAGATTCAGAACCATAAGTGGAGTTCGAATTGTAGGGCTATTCGCCTTCCGAAATGAGTGCGGAAAGTTTGAGCTACACCCGCACATCCTTTTTAGTTGTTGGTGGTGGCATTTCTAAGATGGCCTTAATTTTAGATGGATCAACTTCAATTCCCCGTTGTGTGATCAAAAATCCTAATATCTTGCCGCACTGACCCCAAAGGTGCATTTATGTAGATTCAGCCTCAACTTGTATTCCCTAATTCTCTCAAAAATTTTCTTTAATGTGGTATAATGGCCTTCCCAATCTTTGGACTTGACAATCATGTCATTTACGTACACCTCAACTTCCTTATGTATCATATCATGCAGCAATGTAGTGGTGGCTCGCTGATAAGTGGCCTCGACATTTTTCAAACCAAATGGCATGACCTTATAACAATACGTCCTCCATGATGTAGTAAAATCATCCATGAATGACAGTAAGGCATGCCCTATAGTGAAGTCTACTAATTCATCAATATGTGGCAAAGGAAAGTCATCTTTCAAACTAGCCTTGTTCAAATCCTGGAAGTCGACACAAATCCTGATTATGCCGTCTTTCTTCGGGACTGGCACAATGTTGGCTAACCAAGTCAGATATTCTGATACAAGCAAGAACCCAGCATTGATTTGTTTAGTAACCTCTTCTTTGATTTTTAGTGCCCAATCCAGACGAATTCTGCGAAGCTTCTGTTTGACAGGTCGGGCATCTAGATTAAGAGGGATCGAATGTTGTAGAATCTCAAGATCAATTCCAGGCATATCGTCGTAGGACCACGCAAAAACATCTTTGAATTTCTCTAATAAAACAACTAATTGCTTGCGTTGCTTCGAAGATAAAGTGGATCCAATCTGGACTAAGCGAGGATTCTTTTCAGTACCCACATTGACAGAAATAATTTCATCAACCAATGGCTTAGCACGCCTTTCTTCCTCCCAATTGATTAAGTTCTTCAAAGGCCAAGGAATTTTTTTCCTTTTCGTTTTCATCAAAATTCTGAAAATTCTGGTCAATGCTATAAACTA